CTTTGGGCCAGTCCCTCTCTCTCAGCCCAACTCACCTCACAGGGTTGTTGTTGTTGTGGGGGAAATAGGAGGAGGAAGGAGTATTAAGTATTTTCACTGCCTTGAGTTATTTATAAAAATAATAAAGGCAGGATAAAAAAAAATTAAAAAGGGGTGTGAGTCTTCAGGGATAAGAGGGAACCACTAGAGATGTTTGGGGGGTTTCCAGGGTCCACCCCACCCCTTTGGGAGCTGAGGTTTCAGTTGGAGAGGTATCCTGGAGAAAGAGACTTATGACCAAACATTTTTGAAGGCTGAGGAAAGAGAGCATCTTGCCAGCTGGACAATATTCCCTACAATCCAAGGAACATAAAACTAGAGTGTCTTCTGATCTCTCTTGGCCATCTGGAGTATAGATGAAGAAATAAAAAGGGAGGGAGCACAGAAGCGAGGAGCAACTCTGCATAAAAATCAAAGCAATACAAAACCCCAGGCAAATCTGGATTATTTTAAGGTATTATCCTTACTCTTCTCTAAACTCAAGGCACAAATGTCAATCCATATTGGAAGGGGAATTTTGTTTTTGTTTTGTTTTAATTTGGGGATTTTGGATTGTGGCCAGAATTCTTTCCTGCCTTCAGAATGCAGATCCTTCCCTTGTTTTCAGAGGGGAGAAAGGCAAAAGCAGAATTGCATCCAGAGAGTTTCCAAGGTTAAGTTGGGGGTGGTAAGCATGGGGGAGCGAAGACTGTAGGAGGAATAAGCACAGAGCTGAAGATATGTCCTAATTCAGAATGACAGGGATCCCAAAGGCACCTGCTAACAGCAGCCCTTGGTTAGTAATGGAAGAGCATAAGGGGCATATGGAAATGCAGGCAGACAGCAACTTGGTCAAACTTCTCTTTCAGATACATGGTAGAATCCCAGGATATTGCTCAAAGAGGAAGGGGAAGGGGCACAGCATTGCAAATTCATCTTACCACTACTCTGCAGGCTTGTGATAGCCTCTGCACACAAGGTGTTTTTGTGGCAGTGAGAGATTCTAATGGAGACCCCACCACCTCTCTTTCCTTCAACCCCATGATGTTTCCATCAGTTCTATCCAGATGAAGCAGGGGCAATGCAGGATAAAATCAAGTGGAACGATAAAAAGCAAAGTGATAGGTAAATACGCATATGCTTTCATGGGTTCTCCACAGGGGAGAATTTGCCACCGCTTCCCGACAGCCGCGGTCAGGAGGGGCTCTGAGGACTGCAAAGAACAGATCTGGGGATACAGGTTGCCCATCCCTGTCATAGACAAGGTACATTCCTACCCTGGAGAAACAGATGGAAGATCTGGCACAGCAATAGCTTTCAGGGTTCTTAAGTATCTTCCTCCAAATCTGGAAGAAACACCAGATGCTTCATTTCATCCTTAAACCAGAACCCCTTAACTTTAACCCTCCTAAGCTGGAGGAGAGCCATTCATGGTGTTCTATTTTCCCTGGCAACCCTATAAAGTACCCCAGATCAAGAAACCAATGCCATATAGGTCTAAAACTACTTTTATTGTAACAGCTATAGCATTCTGGGAGTTGAAGTCCGTACGGCTTAAAGTTGCAGAGGTTGAGAAACACTGAGCTACAGGAACAGAATCTTGCAAGTCTGAATGTTCTCCCCCCCTCACTTTAGCTTCGTGTGAATTAAGGCGGAGCTTGTCCCATATGTTTTGTCAAATTCATTTCTTGGAATGGACTCAAGCCCCACTTAAGGTAGGGGCTCTTCCTCCTGTCCTTCAAGGCCATTTTCTATGCCCCCTACATTCCTCGAGACCAGTGGCATGCTCCATCCACCACCACCCCAACCCCCACGCCAGAGAAGAGGCTCACCAGAATGGGACTTCACGTCAGTTCACTTGTTCCATGTTTCTTGCTGGAGGAGAACAGGGGTCTAAGGAAAAATCAAAGAAGCATAATTACTTAGAAACCAATGCTGAATGATATGGCCTTATTTTGCTGCACTTGCCTGAATCCCCCAAGCTAGAATGCATGGATAAATATAAGCCAGATCTGCTTTACCAACTATATTAGCAGAGTAGTAGTTGCGTCTATCAATCTGGTTTATGGAATTTTATTTTAAAAATAGACTGGAAAATCCATGTTTCCATTTGTCAAAGCTCCACCAACAGACTTTTTATACACAAATTCCCTCACTGTATGTAGCCTTTAACATGTATCCCACAAGAAACCTTTTTTAAAATGCTAATTTTCCCTGTGGTTTTGTTTTGCTTTATAAACTTCCCAATTGCTTCTTAATCCTTTGTGAAATTTTATTTCTCCTTCCCTCCCTATTCCCTTCTCAGTTAAGGGTTGGCTGATAAAATGCCCTGAATAAATAAATAGATCTTTGAGGTCAATGGATATATTTGGAACTACAGGCACTTTTATAAAATATTTGCCACAGATCGCCTTGCCCTTGCATTAAATTGCAGCAAAGCTCAAATGGCTGATCATTTGTGCAAACTAGGGTTTGCGTTTATTTATTCATGATGTTTAAAACTTGCCCCAGTGCCCAAGTACCAGGCAGAGCTTGAGTTTAAATGCCAAAGGATAAAAAGTGTCTTTTGAACCCACCATTCTGTGTCCAAAATTCCTTTTTGCAAAAGGCAAATGGAAGAGGCTCAGAGAGAACCCACTTGCCCCCCCCCCCAAAAAAATGCTGAATTAGAGTCTTAGCCAAAGTAGAAGGGCCACTTCAGCTTCAAATTCCAACTCACGCAAGCATTAATTCACAAGCATGGAGAAGGCAAAATTATTATGCTCAGAGAGGGACCAAGAAAGGCAACCAAATGAATAAATCAGTGAAACTGATGAAACACACACAGGGCACAGGTGAAATCCATTCCCTTGTTCTCTGCTATCTTGCTAGCTCTGGAGGAGGGAATGCCCATGTGGGAATGAAGGGGGTACACTTAAGAGGTGACAGGAGAGCGCCAAGGGCTACAACGGGCAGAACAATGATGCAAAATGGGTAATGGACATAGGCAGGCTTAATTTCTGCCAAGAATGGGTGGGAGACATGGGCCTCACTCCAATGTGGGGTGAACATCAATCCCAGGAGGCTTCTTAGTTTTTCGAGGAACTACACAAGAGGAAATGTCATAGGTGCCTAGGCCGCTATTGGAAGATGACAAAATGGGAACTTGACCTAGCATTTAAGAGCCCCTTTTAGGGGTTATATTATGCAATAACAGCAGTGAAACAGTTATTCCTCTGCATTATTGCATCCATTGAGAGTTGACCAGTGGCCCTTTTCTAGGTGACCCTTGCTGAGGAGAGATGGGCCACAGGACCACTTTTTGGATTGCTGTGAAGAATATTCTAGGCATCTAGCAGATAAAGTTGCTCAAATTTGCTTGGAGTTGGATTCTGAGCTGGCCTGATCAAGGTGACAGAGACCTAGTCTTGCTTGGTTAATTGGGAAGAGTTTGATCCTGCGACTCCTGAGGAAGTAGACAGGATCCTTGGCACTATTAACCCAACCACCTGTTAGTCAGATCTTTGTCCCTCTTGGTGGATGAAGGCCACCTGGGAGGTGACATGGAGCTGGGTCCATGAGGTGGTATTGGCCTCTCTGAGGGATGGGGTGGTTCCATCAGCCTTGAAGGAGGCGGTGGTGCATCCTCTCCTCAACAAGCCATTGCTGGACTCAACAGCCCTGGACAATTTTCATTCAATCTCCCCTTCCTAAAGAATGTTATTGAGAAGGCGGTGGGATAGCAGCTGCAGAGGGCCTGCTTCAGGAGAGATCTAAAGTCTTGGTTCTTTCCCCAGGCCTTGGATTCGGGTGCTTGCATGCCCATTTAGGCTGCAGATGACAGGGAGAGTGCTTTGCTTGTTCTTTCAGGGTGACTGTTACTCTTTTTATATAAAGTTGCTTCTTTTCTATGAAGCCGCCCAGGGTCATTTTGGAGTTGTCAGTCTAGAAATTTGTCTAGAAACAAACAAATCAACAAATAAATGCTGCTGAAAAGTCTGGTCTCAGTTCCCTGCATCCTGAAAAAGGTGCTCTACTCACTGGACTTTGGAGGAAAAAAAATAAAATATAATGAAAAAGGCACTGTACTTGCTCTCACTTTCCCCATGCCTGTCCTAATCATTTTGAGAAGCCATTGCTCAAAACTGCTCCCCACTTGGTGCATCAGCTCCCAGCTCACATGGCAGTGCCAAACCCCTTGCTCTGGCCCATCAAATGCACCTTGCCATCATGCCCAGTGCTGACTGCACAGTTGTCAGCCCAAATCACTGTCTGCTGACGGCTAGTCTGTGAAATTATTTTCCATGGTGGGTGCCTTAATACAATGGGAGCAAAGAACGATGAACTGAATTGGAATACCCTGTCTCAAGGGCACTTGATGCCCTTCACAGCGGCTCCGAAGGCAAGGGGGAAGGGAGAAAAGAGGGAGCCTTAAAAAAATGCTGGAAATAGCCAGACCCCCATCGTTCCTTAACCCTTCACTAAGCTGCACCGGGAGAGGCATGCACATGGAAAACTGTGTGCCTGCTCTGACATGATGCTCCTCCACATAGATCTGGCTGCAAAATCTGTTATTACAGAGATACCGGTTTCTACATGTACCTCCCTGCCTTCCACGGACAAGTCGCAACACCACTTTTGGCCATCATTTCATTTCTCCCCCAGGTTTTAAAAAAAAAAAGCCACGGAGAAAGTCTGAAAAAAATAGAAATTTGCCACCATTTCCCCAGCTGCAGAAATACCAGGAAGGCAAAGAAGAAGAAAAAATAAAAATAAACCCACAGGTGTGTACCCACAGAGGTTTCAAAGAGATTCTATCAACTAACAAGGAATAAAATCAACAGCACTGGAGAGGATGAAAGGAGAGAAGATTATTGTCCACTAGCCAGCTGGTGACACAACAGCTGATCTGATGGGAATATAAATATTGCTCGATCACCAAGTTGCAAGAGGACAGCCATGGAGCTTCTCTCTGGCCACAAATGGCCCCACACAGCAGATGGACATTTTCCAGAGTATGTGGGGGTACCAAGGAATGGCATCAAATGATATGGAAGTCTGGAACTCTCAGAATCAAAACCACCAAAATAAGCAGCCATAAAATGTTCAGCCAACAGCACTGGAACTTAAGACAGGAAGAAGCAAGACACGATCAGTAAAAAACCCACATATGAGGGGCCTTTTAATTAAACCAGCCGCAAAACAAAAAAGTGAATATAATAAACGAAAAGAATAGCTAGATATCAAAATACTACACAACAATGGGAAGAAAAACGGATTAAATCTATAAGATTTACACACCATGTTATAACCTAAAGGAAAACTGGTATAAAATGTTTTATAGATGGTATGCTACTGCATCAATAATATCTAAGATAGATAAATCATACAGCAATAGATGTTGGAAATGCCAGGAAACAGGAGGAATGTTTTATCACATGGAGTGGACATGTAAAAAACGGGAAAAAATTCGAAGACATACTATGCAGAAAATTTTGGAATTTAAATTCGAAATGAAACCATAACTTTTTTTATTAGGAATAATCTCAGAAAAAAATCAACAAGAAACATCATAATTTAATGAGACGTATATTACAGCAGCAAGAATACATTTTGCTCAACATGGGAAGAAAAATACAATTCCGACCATACCTGACTGGGAATTCAAACTTGGAGAATATGCAGCAATGGCAAAACTAATAGTATATAGACACTATTATACACATAAGTTTAACTAAATTTAAGCAAGAATTTTTCCCATACAAATATATCATGCAACATGGAAAAAATAATGATCTACAGATTGGTTTTTTAAGGGGGTCTAAATGTTTATAAATATTGCAAATTAGCAGATATATAAAAAGCAGGAGTCAGAAGCTCAACAACTTTTTTTCCTTTTCTTTCCTTTTTTTTCCAATTTTTTCCTTTCTTTTTTGCCATTTTTATTTTTTTTTAGTATTTTAAAACTGCTACATTTGTTTTGTTCATTTATTTTTCTTTTATTAACAGGTACAAAAATACAGGTAGTCCTCACTTACTGACCACAACTGGGACCAGCAACTTTGTCTCTAAGCGACACTGCCGTAAAGTGAACAATCATGTGACTATGCCCAACTTACAGCAGCAGTTCATAAGTTTTGGCTGCGATCATTAAGCAAATCACCATGGATTATTAACTGCAATGTCACGTGACCATGACCTGAGACTTCCTGCTGGCTTCCCCGATGACTTTGCTTGTCAGAAGACTGCTGTGAAGGTTGCAAATGGTGATCACATGACTGTGGGATGCTGTGACTGTCACAAATGCCCACCGGTTGCCAAGTGCCCAAATCGTGATCACATGGCCATGGGGATGCTGCAACAGCTGCAACTTTGAGGACCGGTCACAAGTCTCCTTATTCAGGACCATCATAACTTTGAACAGTGACTGAACAAATGGTTGGTGAGGGCTACCTATATAGCCATATACGCACACACACACACACACA